TGTTGAGGTGGTTTGGTTATTTAGAGAGAATGGATCAAAGTAAAATGACATGGAGAGCGTATAAATTTGTAGGGGAAGGAAGGCGGGGTAGGGGTCGTCCTCGAAAATGTTAGAGGGAGGGGGTAAAGGACGTTTTGTGGGAAAGGGGTTTGGACTTCCAGCAAGCGTGCGTGAGCGTGTTAGATAGGAGTAAATGGAGATGAATGGTTTTGGGGACTTGACGAACTGTTGGAGTGTGAGCAGGGTAATATTTAGTGAAGGGATTCAGGGAAACCAGTTTTTATAGATTTAGCCGAACTCGAGTCCTGGAAGTGGAAAGTACAATGCCTGCACTTTAAAGAAGCAGTTTGGAGGGATATCTAAACTGTCGTATCTGGGCGCCTCTGCAAAAACAGTGAATATGTATGGTGAGTGAGGTGAAAGTGTTGAATGATGAAAGTATTTTCTTTTTGGGGATTTTCTTTCTTTTTCGGTCACCCTGCCTCGGTGGGAGACGGCCGACTTGTTGAAATAAATAAATATATATATATATATATATATATATATATATATATATATATATAATATATATATATGTGTGTGTATATGTGTGTATGTGTGTATGTGTGTGTGTGTGTGTGTGTGTGTGTGTGTGTGTGTGTGTGTGTGTGTGTGTGTGTGTGTGTGTGTGTGTCGTGCTGAATAGGTAAAACTTGCGAAGGGGACCAAAGAGAGTGTAAAAATTATAGGGGAATAAATCTGTTTAGTATAACTGGTAAAGTGTATGGTAGAGTTATTATTGAAAGAATTAAGAGTAAGACGGAGAGAAGGATAGCAGATGAACAAGGAGGCTTTAGGAAGGGTAGGAGGTGTGTAGACCAAATGTTTGCAGTGAAACATAGGTGAACAGTATTTAGATAAGAGTAAAGAGGTATTTGTGGCATTTATAGATTTGGAAAAGGCATATGATAGGGTGCATTGGGGGGGGGGGCAGTGTGGCAGATGTTGCAAATGTATGGAATAGGAGGTAGGTTACTGAAAGTAGTGAAAAGATTTTCCGAGGATAGTGAGGCTCAGGTTAGAGTATGTAGGCAAGAGGGAGATTATTTCCCAGTAAAAGTAGGCCTTAGACAGGAATGTGTGATGTCACCGTGGTTGTTCATATATATATATATATAGATAGATAGATGAGGTTGTAAGAGAAGTGAATGCTTGCTCGGGTGTTGGCAAGAGGTGTGGAGTTAAAAGATAAAGAATCTAACACAAAGTGGGAGTTTTAAGAGTTGTTCTTTGCTGATGACACTGTGCTTTTGTGAGATTCTGAATAGAAGTTGCAGAGGCGGGTTGATGAGCTTGGTAGGTTATGTAAAAGAAGAAAATTAATTGAATATAGGAAAGTGTAAAATTTAGGTACCGAAAGATTAGATATCAGATTGGAGGGTGAGAGTATGGAAGAGGTGAATGTATTCATATATTTGGAATTGGAATTATCAGCAAATGGGTGTATAAAAGATGAGGTGAATCATAGAACTGACGAGGGAAAAAACGTGAGTGGTGCACTGAGGAGTCTGTGGAGAAAAAGAACTTTATCCCTGGAAGCAAAGAGGAGAATGTGTGAGAGTATAGTTATGTCAACACTCTTATTTGGGTGTGAAGCATGGGTAGTGAATGTTGCAACAAGGAGAAGGCTGGAGGCAGTGGAGATGTCATGTTTGAGGGCAATGTGTGGTGTGAATATAATGCAGAGAATCCGTAGTTTCTAAATGAGGAGATGCGGAGTTACCAAAACTATTATCCAAAGGGCTGAGGTGGTTCGGACATGTAGAGAGGTTGGAACAAAATAGAATGACTTTGAGAGCGTATAAATCTGTAGTGGATGGGATGCAGGGGAGGGGTCGGCCTAGAAACGGTTGGAGGGAGGAGGTAAAGGAGGTTTTGTGTGCGAGGGGCTTGGGCTTCCAGCAAGCATGCGTGAGCGTGTTAGAGAGAACCGAATGAAGACAAATGGTTTTTAGAACTTGACGTGCTGTTGGAGTGTGAGCAAGGTAACATTTATGAAGGGATTCAGGGCAACCAGCAGGCCAGACATGAGTCCTGGAGATGGGAAGTACAGTGTCTGAACTCTGAAGGAGGGGTGTTAATGTTGCAGTTTTATAACTGTAGTAGAAACATGCTTCTGGCAAGACAGTGATGGAGTCAATAATGATGACAGTTTTTCTTTTTCGGGCCACCCTGCCTTGGTGGGAAACGGATGATGCGTTAATTATTAATATATATATATATATATATATATATATATATATATATATATATATATATATATATATATATATATATATATATATATATATAATGAGGGGAATATAAGTATTAGGAGGTTAAAGGTAATGATAAATGTTGGTCACTTCAGGTGATGAGAGGTCGCCACTGACGGCTGACACTAACTACACATACCGGGTGGTTATCTACACTTCAACAAACAGGGCATCATCTAGTCATTACTGTTTCAAAACTGACCGTAAGTTATTGTACCTTTATATCTTTAGTTGAACATTATATATATAATATATATATATTTATATTTATATTTATATATATATATATATTTATATATATATATATATATATATATATATATATATATATATTTATATTTATATATATATATTATTATTTTATATATCACTTACCAAACTGCGGCTGGCCAGGACTCGACCCTACGAACCTTGTACCGCCTCCAGAGACAGAACAATGCACGCATCACCTTACCACAACGCCAGTGGTGTAATGGTAAGGTTAGTCTAAGGTGTTATCCTACGTTCTGTTCTATAATAAGTTTTCTTAGCTGCCAGCAAGACAGATTCCACAAACACCTTAGGATACCGCTGTTTCATGCCAGTGTCAAATATTTTCCTAATTTCTTCATCTAGGAACTCCGGACTGCACACTCTATAGGCTCTCAAAAACATACTAAGAAATACACTACTTTTGACTTTAGTCTCATGGTTGGAGTAGTAATGAATGATGAGCACACATTGGTAGCCTTCCTATATACTGTAAAGTTAAACTTCCTATCAACCCGGTATATCAACACATCTAAGAATGGAAGTTTACAGTCCACCTCTTTCTACACGGTGAATTTAATAGACGGGACTAAAGCGCTAAATCTTGGTAAAAATGTATCAAGGTCCATATACCACCTGAGTAACAAGATCATTTACTAGATTACTTATATAGAGGATTGAGAATAATGAAACGGACAACGTAATGTTTACATACTAGGAAACTAAATCTCATAGCACAAAGTGGCTGGACTCAACCTGCTAACCTGGAGTTCACTATCAACTTACTAGTGACCAGCAGACAACACTGCAATATGGGTTAAGTTTCGCGCCTACTAGTGGATACACTAATTATGCTGACCCTGCCAAATGTTTTTGCAATTTGGAAAAAACAAGGGAACTTATCCCCTGAAATGTTCAACATTTGCAAAGGCATGGTATATGGAGCTTTGTTTAGACCTGTGGAACCGAAATGTCCTCAAAGATTTATGAAGTCGTACCATGTTAACTTTTTCTCACCTACCCCCCACCCACGGGTCCCGTGGGAAGCGGCCCCATAATTGCCGGTGACTTCTATATAACTGACAATATATTAATATTTGTAAAGTTACTGATATCATAGCGAGGCATAGAAATTTTTTTTATTATTGCCTGTTGTGAATAAGAAAATTTGTCTCTTTTCCTAGCTCCCTTTCGCTTTTTTTGTCCTCTCCCTCAGCTGCTGTCGTTCTTGATTTTGTTTGGTCTCTGTCTAGGAACACACTATTGTTCTCTTCCGAGTAATTTCAATCGTGGTTTCTCTTGGAGGATCCTGCTTCCGCACTGTTTCCGTCTGAGAATCAGCATTGATTGGTCGGTTTTCCCTTCGAGTACCCCTATTCTCTGAAAATTTACATCTCGTCATCTTTACCTATTTCCGTGATGATTTTCTCAATTCCTTTCTTTCTTCACACGTGCCTTTCAGTGTGTGTCCTTTTCCGCTACTCTCTCCTGAAGCCATGTATAAACACTGATTTTGCCTTTCTTCCTCCAATTGCTCACTCTGTGACTCTGGATCCTGCGTATGTTGGTCAGTTTTCGTCCCTTGGATTTTTAAGTGGCTATGATTGCTTGTTGTGCCTAGCATTTTCGACCTATCACCCTCTCCATCTGCAACCCAGTGATCTTCCCTTTCTCTACTTGGTACTCCTTGGCAGATTGATGGAACTTAGCATAATTCCATAATTCTTCCTTCCTGTTCGCCCTCGCGCAGATTAATATGCTGTGTCTTCTCTGGTCATGGCCCCTGGTAACTCGCTTCAGCATATTTATCTCATCTTCTAGGAACCTATATCTTGGCTACTGCAGTTATCGACTTGGTGCTCCCAATTCTGTGTCCATCCGCTTCTCCAAACTCTTTCCAATTTACAAGTGAGCTCTTTCTCCATTTATATCAGAACGCTTCTACTTTTCTCTCTACTTTTGTTTCCATCCTTTTCCACAGTCTCCATCACTCTCCATACCAGGAACCATTTTCATTGATCCTTGGTTCCGGCAGACTCCCCTCCATTTTTTTTTTTTTTTGTTTTTTTTTTTTTTTTGTGAGTGAGAGTGAAGGGAAAGGTTAGAGGGGAGGAGAGAGTGAAAGGGAATGAGAGGAGAGGGAGGAGTTAGAAGGAAAATTGGCGGACGAGAGAGAGCAAGAGAGAGATTAGAGGCAAGAGAGAGAGAGAGAGCAAGGGTGAAATAAGATAAGATAAGATAAGTTTTCGTCTCGGATACTTTAACCCCCGGAGGGTTAGCACCGGTAATACAATCGACCACAAACCCCCCCCTCCCCCCCCCCCCCCCCCCCAAGAAAGTCAGTGGTCATCGAGGATGTCTAACTTATTCCATTGGGGTCCTTAATCTTGTCCCCAGGATCGCACCCCTCACCATGTCGACTAACACCAGGTACTATTTGCTGCTAGGGAACAGGACAACAGGTGTAAGGCAAAGTGTCAAATGTTTCCACCCGCCGGGAATCGAACCGGTCCCTCCGTGGGTGGAAGCGGAGCTCTTAGCCGCACCAGACCCACCGTTGGGCACCCATAAGCAGGAGGTAGGTGCATTTCCTTCATTAAATCACCTCTGACAGAAAAGGCTGGTGGGCCCAAGACAAGTTGAGCCCAAGATTGTGGGAGAAGATGTTGCCAGACAGCTAGCAGCACTCTACTGATATTTCGACCTGCTAGTTACAGTGCAAATGGCCCTCTCCATGGAAGAGGCAAATGTGTCCCTGTTCACAAAAGAAGAGCTGAGCAGAAATCAGCAACTTACCAGGACCAGTGTACACTCCTGTCATTCAATGGTAAGAGACCTTTGGACAATAATCTCAACGCGCGACAAATGACAGAGTTTTTTTGATACCACTCACTACTTTGTGATCGTTCAATATGTCTTAAGAATAGGTTACTCTGCTGCTGATCTGTTGTTAAACCTTCCACTAAGTGGACCACGTCCCACTGGATGAATCCAAAGTAAGCTGATTGTGGTAGCAATGGACATTGCTGGCGCTTATCGACGGTTGTGGCACAGGCCTCTTAGCCAAACTTCAAGCACTGGAATTGCATGCTCTTCGCTTATGTTTCCTCAGGTGATCTACCTTCATGGTAGCTCTCCTAAGTTGCTAGTCCTCAATGGAACGGAATCATCATGACATCCTATTGGGGCAAGCGTTCAAATGGAGTGTGCTGGTCCACTGTTTATGAGAATGTCTTACTTCAACGACCTTCTTCTATCTCATCCCAGATCGCATGCATATGCAGGGACGACTGTACCTGACATTCACTTATCAAGAGAAGAAATGCCGTGCTTAAGCTACATCAAATCACGAGTGAGAGCTATATCTGTTGGGGTAAATAATGATGGCATAAGTAAATATTGCACTGAGAAACGGCAAATGATGTTAGTCTCTAGGCTCCATGATTGTAGGGTAATGCTGGCTGCAGTAGGAAGATGAATGGGAGGATGTCTGGACACCTGGAGAAGAAGTTGATATCCTTGGGGTGATATTTGACTCAAAACTAACCTTGAAGAAACCATGTTGTGATTATCTTTGCCAAACATCGGCAGCCAGGAGCTTACAGCACTTCGCCGTAACTCGACCATTGCTTGACCAGCAGGGGTTGCAAGATACTGTAGAGGAACAAGTACGCTCACACTTAGTCTGACTCACTTTCTTGGTTTGACTGCTCCCCACCTTCATCTGCGACTGCTTGACAGAGTAGAGAAACAGAGCAAGGCGTCTAATCCTCTCGCCTGGGGACCCATCCTGGGATGATCTGGTCATTTCATGCAGAGCCTTCAACATAGGAGAGGATGTGGTGGGTGGCCTTACTGTTATGGTAAAAGGCCAATATTGTCAAAATACCAACACTTGGATCCATTCGCTGGACAGCGCGGAACAAGCTTTTTGCCATCAAAGACGGCAGAAAGACGCCAACTTCACTCTGCTGTACCCTTCTCCTGAGCATCACTACATTGCGATCATCATACCCGGATGACTCGAGTATGGAAACATTCGTTCAGCATAATGATGTCAACGAGATAACGTCAGTTGATCAAATGAAAATGCTGGCCCAAGATGGCTCCAACTTCCTTCCTGTTCCCTAATGTATGTCTCATAACAATAAAAATGCTTCAAATGAGCTGTTGTAGGTAACAGCTTCTTTAGCTTCGTCAATAAAGTTAGGAAATCCTTAATCCTGTTAAATAGCTTGTCAATTAAAGCTAGGGATCCTTACCTTGTACCATGTGTTAAAAAAAAAAAAAAAAAATAAAAAAAAAGAGAGAGAGCAAGTGAGAGAGAGAGCAAGAGAGAGAGCAAAGAGAAGAGAGAGAGCAAGAGAGAGCGAGAGCAAGAGAGGAGAGACGAGCATGGAGAGAGAAGTGAGCAAGAGAGAGAGAGAGAGAAGAGAGAGAGGAGCAAGAGGAGAGAGAAGCACAAGAGAGAGAGAGAGAAGAGAGAGAGTGTGCAGAGAGAGAAAGAGCAAAAAGAGAGAGAGCGAGTCAAGAGAAGAGAGAGAGAGAAAGAGAGAGAGAGAGCAAGAGAGAGAGAGAGAGCAAGAGAGAGAGAGAGCAAGAGAGAGAGAGAGCAAGAGAGAGAGGAGCAAGAGAGAGATGAGAGCAAGAGAGAGAGAGGAGCAAGAGAGAGAGAGAGCCAAAGAGAGAGAGAGAGCAAGAGAGAGAGAGAGCAAGAGAGGAGAGAGAGCAAGAGTGAGAGAGCAAGAGAGAGAGATGAGCAATGAGGAGAGAGAGCAAGAGAGAGAGAGTAGCAAGAGAGCAGATGAGGAGAGAGAGGAGGAGAGAGGAGAGAGAGAGAGAGAGAGAGAGAGAGAGAGAGAGAGGAGGAGGAGGGACGGGAGGAGGGGAGGGAGAAAGAGAAGGCAAAGATGGGGAGAAGGGGGACAAGAGGGGGGAATGGAAGAGCAGAGGAGAG